AATATACACAGGGATATTGCTTTGCCCCATGGGGTTTTGTGGTCCTTTGTAGCACTTTTAGGATTGTGCTTTTCTTTCAAGGGCAGCACTGGGGGCGGGGGTGGGGGGAGAGATGAGATTTCCGTTGATAACATAGAGTCTCCTTTTCTGGACTTGGATGTGTTCCGCTTATCTCTACTACTGGGGGTCAAGGAGTCAATATATATTTATGTTATTCATTTCTCTGCTTACGGATTCTCTTTTTTAAAAATGGAAACTTATGATTGCCAAAGGGCATCATTTCAATGTGCCTCCATTGCATCTGTGACTTCCAGATAAGTCGCTGCCTATCCACATTGACTCAGGGTTGTTTCTCTTCCTCTCCAGAGACCTAAACTTTTCCACAAATCACTACTAGAATTAGGAGTTGCCAGATTTCCTTTCATACAAAAGAGGGAGTAACCCAATAGCAATGAAAGAGAGGGAAGGAATGGGGAGGATGAGTTCATTTGTATACAAAAGGGCCACAGAGGTGGAATCATCTTCTCCTCCTGGCTCAGACCTCCCCTAAAGAGGGGAAATTTTTCACCAATTCATTGGGAATACAAGCTTTGGGCCAGTCTCACTTCAGGAGGCAAGTCAGAAGAAATGCATAGTTTCCACCGGCTGCTTTTCTAATATATGCCCAGCAGTCCTTGACCCTCCTGGGGTTGGGGGGGGGGGGGGCGGGGGGGGGGGGATGGGAAGGAGAAGTGCAGCCTCTGCTTCCCAGTATTGTCAGCTTGTAGGACTGTGGAAGAAGGGGGAGGGAAGCCAGCATCCAGACGTGTGGTACCCTGCATGATTCTTCTGCTTTCCTTTCTTCAGAATGGGTAATAGGAATAAGCATATTTTATAGCACCTAGTATGTGTCAGGCACTGTGCGAAGCACTTTACAATTATCTCATTTGATCCTTACAACAACCCTGGGAGATAGCTGCTATTATGATCCTCATTTGACAGTTAAGGAAAATGAGGCAAACAGAGGTTAAGTGACTCACCCAGAGTCACCCAGATAGTAAATCTCAGGTCTTCCTGACTCCAGACCCAGTTTCTATCCACCGCACCACTTAGCTACCTCTGGTTGCTCATTCTGCCTCCTCACTCTCAGAACTCCACCCCCACCCCAAACTATACCAAAGAGCTAAGTCCAAGCAGGTCACTCACTAACTGGGAAACTTGGGATAGCATTTGCTTCAGCTTCTTGTTTCCATAGCAACACTTACAAGAGAGGTGCTACACATAATTTCTGAACACATTGGACTCACGTATGAGGTTTTAGGAATTTTGCAATAGTTGGACCTGGGGCAAGGATGTAGCCCTCATTGGTCTAAAATATCTCAGGATTCTCCCTGTTAATCCTTTCAAGGCAATTTCTGTCCCTTTTTCAAACAAAAACTGCCCCAATAATTTTCAACATTGCTATTTCTATCAGACTGGCCCAGTTTCCTCCTCTAATCAGGGACTCCTATGCAGCTTCTTGGGGTGGTCTAACAAGAACACTGTGCCCTGATTCTTAGCCATGATAACATCATGAAATAATCTAGATTCCATTTAGAGGACCCAGCAGGCAACAGGTGCCAAGGGATGCCTCTCCTCATCTTTCCCAAGGATGTTAGGCTGAGCCCCTCCAGCCCTAACACCTGCTCCAGGTAGACATGGCTGTTCATACCACTTGGATGAGAAGGGAGTCACTGACTAAAATGCTTCTGGTAAGCTGGAGAATTTCTGGGCCTTACCTTCTTTCCAGCCACTAATAAAAACAAAAATGTTTTTACAAAGCACTTTACATATATTATGTCATTTTATCCTCACAACAACCCTATGAGGTAGATAGTATTACCGAGGCCAAGAGAAGCCAAGTGACTTGCCCAGGATCACATAGCTAGTTAGTATCTGAGGCAGGATTTGAACTCAGATCTTCCTTATTCTAATTCCAATGCTGTACCACTTAGCAGTACTAATCCATAAGGTCTGCCAGAACTTATTGTCTTCCCTATCACTAGTTAACCCTCTAGATGCCCTCAGTTATTGCTATCTGACCTGCCAATGTATCCTAAAAACCCCTGGGTTGGGCTATCTGGCCTGTCCTACACATGTTGTCTCCCCCAATTACTATGTGAACTCACTGAGAGCAGGGACTGTCTCACTTACTTTAAAAAAAAAAAAAAAAAGCTTAATCATTTAGCAGTTTTTTTTAAACAAATGCTTAATAAATACCTCCATTCATTTCACATTCACGTACACTAAGGTGATTTTTAAAAAATGAAGACTATTAAAGACTATTATGGAATAAGATGACTGAACAGAATGTTGTCATTAGAATGGCCAGGCTCTGCCCTAGAGAGTTTAGAAGATACATCTCCCTCCTTCCTTCCTTTCCAGAGGCGGGGGTGCATATCTTGTCAAATATGACTTCTGTAAAGCCTTTTTTTTTCCTTTTTCCTTTTATTCTCTTACAAGCGATGGCTCATTGGGTAGAGAAGACTATAGGGATATATTCAGAAAGGAAAATGATGTAAAAACAAAGGATTAACAACAACAACATAGATTCTTTCCAAAAGAATCTTATGGACTTGAAATCAAAAAAATACTTCTGCATGATATTTACATGTGTGTATTTTATTTATAAACACATACACACACATATGAAATGCTTATGCAAAATATATACATACCCCTTAATTCTGTCCCAAATGAATCTCTGGAAATATTCCAAATCCATGTTAGGTATTTGGTTCCATTACTCTCATTAGGTTCTTCTACTTACCAAACTGTACGTCACACATGGGTAAACTGGGCCCAGAAAGGTAAAGTGACTTACCCATAGTTAAAATAGAATTGGTTAGCAGAAGAACCAAGATTAGACGCCAGGTCCTGTTCAGGATTCTTTTGCTTCCTCCCCTCCAAATGCTTTGTCTGTTGCTGTACATAAAAGAGCCCTAGACTGCCTTATGATGAAGTCTAAACAATCCCCACCATGTCAATGGATGCTGGGCAAGTGTCCCATCCTTCCCAACTTTCAGTTCATTCTTCTGTATAACAATGGCTACCATACTTCAGTTCCAACTTAGGCTAACTCAATTCAGGTCATGGTGCATTTCTCACTTTACTTCATAGCCTACTAGCTCTCATTAGCAGTGCTACCTTTCCTTACGATCGCACACATCTCCTTGGAAAGGCCTCTGGGAGAAGGTATTGCTGTCTTATTTTATCAACATACAATTAGTACTTTCATTAATGACTGTAGGGAGGTTATTGATTTACTTTTTCCCATTAATAGCAACAGGATCATAGAATGTTAGAGCAAGAAGTGGTCTAACCCAAAACCTCATTTTAAAGATGAGTACACTGAGGCCTGGAGAGGATAAAGAACTGTCTTGGTGCTACCAAACTACACAGTGGCTATCAGTCCAGCATTCAGTCCACAATACCACACAACCACATGTACTACTGTATTCAGGAACAGAAGCCGAGAAAATGATGCAATAGTTCAAATTCTTTTAAAAATATGTGGAATGATTCAGTGAAAGTTACCTAATGAATTATATGTCATTGAAAACTTTCTCCACTAAAAACAAATAAATACCTAAAGTCACCTTCCCAAATTGTGTTTTATCCAGCTAAAAAAAAAAGTATTATGCAACTAGTAGCTCCATGAATGACAAGCCATTCAATTGGTACAAAGAGGCTCTTTGAAAATAATGCCAGTATAGGTCAACTGTGTGACCTTTGGTAAGTTGTGTCCCCTTCGGGGGCTTCAGTTTCTTCCAGCCTAAAGTGAGGAGGCTAGATTCCATGATCTCTAACATTCCTTCAAATCTGTAATTCTGATTCTGAGATAGTTATCAATTCTCAGTTGTCAATGAAAGCATTATTTTAAGTGACACCAAGGGGGGGCATTGATAAGCCTCCAGAGGAAGGCATCTTGGTTGGTGAAAGGGCCTGGAATCTGTGCCATAGAGAGACTGCTTAAAAGAACTGAAGATGTTCAGCCTAGAGACTTAGGGGAGAAACGGTAGCCCTCTTAAGGTATTTGAAAAGTCATCAAGCGGAAGTGAAAATAGATTTGTTTTGCTTTGTCTTGGGGTAGAGACAGAACTTGGAGGAATAGCTGGAAATGGCAAAAAAAAATCAGATCTAGGTTTGATGAAGGAAGAGAATCGTAAAAATAAGACATCCAAAAATGTGGAATGGGGCTGCTTTAAAGAAAATAACAATAATAGCTAACATTCATTTAGCATTTACTATGATTCTGTGCCTGGCTCTGTGCTAAATGCTTTATAATCATCTCATTTGATGCTTATGACAATCCTAGGAGGTAGGTGTGATTATTATCCCTATTTAAAATACGAGGAAATTGAGGCAAACAAAGGTTAAGTAATTTGCCCAAGATCATGTAGCTAATAAACGTGCAAGTATGGATTTGAACTCAGGTGTTCCTAACTCCAGGCCCAGAATTCTAGCCACTGCATCACCTGGCTGCCTTGCAAGTTAATGGGTTTTTCCTCACTGGAGGTCTTCAAAGCAAAGGCTGGGTGTTGATTTGTTGACACTGTTGCAGTGGGGATTCTTTTTGCATTGTGGGTGGAACTAGATGGTGTCTGAGGTCCTTTCCTGTCTGATATTCTGTGATCCTGGGAAAGCCCAGTTAGAGTCCAATCTGCCTAGGGCCACTGGCAATGGAGGTTAACACTGTAAGGGCTCACAGATGGCCATTAAGAAGTGGGAGGATGAGAAATTTGTTTCCCTGAGCGTTTATGTATCTAATTGTTTTATGAAGTTAAACAGAAGTTACCCTTATTAACAGAAAGGTTGATTCATGAATAGTGAATGTGACGTGTCAGGATAAAAGAATCATTCATATTCATGCACAAACATATTATTCTACACTATGTGCCAAATATATAT